CAGTCTGGGCGTGTTTTTGAGCCGATAATGGAACGAACAGACGCTCTAAAATCAGAGTGTTTTCATTTGGAAATCATCTTTCGGGAAGCCGGCCTCATGCTTTAGTCCAGTGTTTTTCAACCTTTTTTGACCCAAGGTACATTTTCTTCATTGAAAAAATCCCGAGGCACACCAACCAAAAATGTTAAACAGATCTGTAGCCGCCTATAGTAACACTATAGTTATTCTTATTTTATTCTTATCTCATCTTAAGTGTCTTGAATAGGAATCAAATAAACACAAAAATGTATTTTTATCGTATTTTATATTTCTTCTTTCAAATTGCTCTTAACATGTCCACTTCAATATACAAAATTAAATACAAAATCTAGTCATAAGGAATTATTACATGATTACTCCACCAGTCACTATAACAGCACACACACTCAGAAATGGAATATTATTTACAGATAATTAATTCCTTATCAAAAACTCTTTTTGGACCAATGAGGTGAAATAGGATGATTTTCTACGGCACACTAGTGCAGTGTTTTTCAACCCCTGGTCCTCGGTACACTAGTGTGCCGTTAGTGATGGTCAGGTGTAGAAAATCATCCTATTTCACTTCATTGGTCCCCAAAAAAAATTTTGAGAATTTTCTGCAAATAATATTCCATTTCTGAGTGTCTGTGCTGTTCTAGTGACTGGTGGAGTAATCATGTAATAATTCCTTATGACTAGATTTTGTATATAATTTTGTATATTGAAGTGGACATGTTAAGAGCAATTTGAAAGAAGAAATATAAAATACGATAAAAATACATTTTTGTGTTTATTTGATTCCTATTCAAGACACTTAAGATAAGATAAGAATAAAATAAGAATAACTATAGTGTTACTATAGGCGGCTACAGATTTGTTTAACTGTTTTGGTTGGTGTGCCTCGTGATTTTTTCAATGAAAAAATGTACCTTGGGTCAAAAAAGGTTGAAAAACACAGTTTTAGTGACTCTGGACCCCCCCCTGTGTTTTTGTGTTTTTATTGACCAGTGGGACTCTGAGATGGGGGAACCAGGACCCCATTTGGCCCGTTTCCCCCCGGGTCCAGGCCCCCAGCGCCAGGATCCAGGAACTGTCCAGGCCCAAGAGAGACCTGTCAGCGGGGGGGCAGTGGAGGTAAGGGGGGGGGGGGGTTAGGGTTATCTATATCTATATCCTCCTGAGACCCGAGCTTTTATTTGGCATGCATTTTAGCTTTTTCTTTAAAGATACATGAGATACATATTTAATTAAATGTTTTTACAATTTTGTTCTGACAG